TATATATATGAAACAATAAATATATATATTTATTGTTATATATATAAATATATATATTTATTGATTTCAGAGAGGGAGAGGGAGAGAGATAGAAACATCAACGATGAGAGAGAATCACTGTTCGGTTGCCTCCTGTATATCTGAGCCCAAAACCCGGGCATGTGCCCTGACTAGGAATCCAAATGTGACCTCCTGGTTCATAGGTCAACACTCAACTACTGAGCCACACCAACTGGGCTTCTTAGGGTTGTATAGGATTTTAAAAACAAGAATAAAAGGGTGATATAAATATAAGGTTTCACTCCAGTTATCTGTTGTTCAGAACATTTATTTATTTTACTTTTAAAAATAATTTTATTAATTTTTAGAGAGGGGAAGGGAGAGGGAGAGGGAAAGAGAAACATCGATGTGAGAGGGAAACATCAATTGGCTGCTTCCTGCATGCATGCCCCCTACCAGGGACAGAGCCCGCAACCCGGGCAAGTGCCCTGACAGAGAATACAAGAGGATGCCCAGCCAACTGAATAAAGCTGTTATTTAAAAAATGTCATATAGAGTCTCAACCAAATTTTACTTAAACATCACAAGTGAAAAGGCTGAAAATAGATACACAACATTTTAGACTGGGATTTCCTGAACGGCAAGATTTAGGTGATTTTTGTTTGTTCTCTTACTCTTTTCTGATTCTCATAATCGTAAAGTTATTAGTCTAATATAACTTCCTGACAAAATCTATATACATTTAAGATATGTGCCGGTCCCAGAGCATTTATTTACAATTACAAGCACACCCAATTGCTATGGTACCACTGTTGCCCACATTCATTACAGATTACATACGTCATCATTTGTTCGTCTGGGTTTGAATTCCGCACCCAACCTGGAAGGAAAAGTATTCCTCTGTCAATTACAGTGACCTTGCAATTGAACTTTTCACAGTGTTTGCATTTTATTTTCTCTGTCTGGGTGCCCTCCATCACTTGGGGAAGGCAATGCTCCTGAATGCCAGATTCCGTGTAGGAAGCTCTCAACTCTTTCAGCTCCTTGCTTGCCATGTCCATGACCGTCATTTCGGCAAATTCTCTTGGCGACATGGTCCCAGAGAGCAAGTTTCGTTGTAAGTGAGAATTTCGGGGGTTCTTCAGATTGGCAACTTTGCTTCTGATACAAGTTTTATATTTTTTGAGGTTCTTTGAATACAGGGTAAAAACGTGCTCTTCAATTTCTCTTGCAAAGCTTTGCCACAACTCGGCTTTGGGCTGCTCGGTGGAAGAACTAGTTAAAGCTTCATAAAGAAGCTCTGTGCATTTCATTCTCACGGGCACTGCAGGAGGTAGCAACTCACTTGATCTCTGGTCAGTGGATTTGGGGTCGCCGCCCTTGACATCCTCTTCCTTACGTTCCATTCCATTCGGGCTATTTTCAGGCACAAGCATTTCAGCGGCTTTTGCTATAGCATCTTGGGAAGATAGAGAATCAGAACTGGAGCCTCTCAATGTCTCATCTGGACGTGAGTCATAAGAAAGTCCTGAATTTTTGTCCTTGTCACCCACAGGGAAGAATTTGGGGCTGTCTCCTGGTTTGAAATGAGGATCATTATAAAGAGCTTTCCATTTCGACAGGAGGCACTTGACCTTCTTCTTCAAAGCCACGGTGGGGCAGTTTTTGAGGACACGGTACATAGCCCTGACCACATGTGTCTGCTGGAGATGCTCCTTGGTCACGTGCAGAGTTTCCAGCTCCGTCAGGTGGTTGCCAAGATCCTCAAAGTTCCCTTCAGACAGCAGTTGCTCAATAAGGGAAGCTCTGGCCGCTAGCTGGGTCCTGGCAGACATTTTCACAGCTGCAAAGAGAAAAAGAGTTTTCCATTTTCTTAGGCTTGTGTTTGCCAATCATAGCTTCCTGATAGTAGCGTGGCACTTTCTGCCAGTGACCTACATGGTGTTTGCTAAAGGAGTTGGGTAATAAAAATGGGTGTGCCGTGTTAGAAAACGGGATCTGCAGTGGGGCATGGTTTCGTTTAAAAAGTTTGATTCTCTGTAGTTTTTTTTTGTTTTTTTTTTAAAGCGGCACTGTAAACAGCTTCTGCATGAATGGCTGCTTAAAGAGCTGCTATAACTTTTGCCACCTCTAATTTTACAAATCAGTGAGCTTCCCGAATCAAGATTTGTCACTTCCTGTGCATGGAATCTGGTGGTCATGTTAGGGATGAAATCATGCCAGTGTCAACATCAACAGGGTACGACTGAGCAAGTCTGGAAACTTCTTCCCATATTCAGCTATATAAGGGAACTACTTGCTCATTTTATAATCTTTTTTTTTTTTAGAGAAATTTAAAAAAATATTTTTATTGAAGGGAGAGGGAGAGAGAGAGAGAGAGAGAGAAATATCAACGATGAGAAAGAATCATTGATCGGCTGCCTCCTGCACGCCCCACACTGTGGGTCAAGCCCACAACCCGGGCTTGTGCCCTGACCAGGAATCAAACCATGACCTCCTGGTTCATAGGTTGACGCTAACCACTGAACCATGGCAGCCAGGCTAATTTTATAATCTTTTTTTAAATATATTTTATTGATTTTTTTACAGAGAGGAAGGGAGAGAGATAGAGAGTCAGAAACATCAATGAGAGAGAAACATCGATCAGCTGCCTCCTGCACACCCCCCATTGGGGATGTGCCCGCAACCAAGGTACAAACCCTTGATTGGAATCGAACCTGGGACCCTTCAGTCCGCAGGCTGACGCTCTATCCATTGAGCCAAACCAGTCAGGGCTAATTTTATAATCTTTACATGGTACTTTTCTGAATATAAAAGAATGAGAAACAGGGCAACAGGGGATGCTGTTTAGATGTCCCAAGGAATCTAAAGAGGTCGTGAGCTAGCACAGGTTGGGAGGCAGCCGGAGCCAGGTCTGATGGGCCCCACTGTGCTGACATCTGAGTCTTCTGAAGAACAGGGGAAAGGTTTACACTAAGGCTACCAGTGGTTCTCAACCTTCCTAATGCCGCGACCCTTTAATACAGTTCCTCATGTGGTGGTGACCCCCAACCATAAAATTATTTTTGTTGCTACTTCATAACTGTAATGTTGCTACTGTTATGAATCATAATGTAAATATCTGATATGCAGGATGTATTTTCAGGGGTCTCGACCCACAGGTTGAGAACCGCTGGAAGCGATCCAGAGGGTTTATGACACTGGACTAACTGGTCCCTAGGCTGGAGTTTGGCTCTGTTAACATTTTTTCTTTTCTTTTTTTTTACTTTTAGGTGTAAAAAGTTGCTTGATGATTATATCTGAGTGAATTTCATCCCGGGCAGGCCAATGTTTACTCTAGCTCACCAGTCTATGTTTCTCTCCACATAATGTACACCATCTTGCCTACATGACAACCGTGGATCTAGATCTGCCCATCCGGCTAAATGTGAACATAAGCGTCTTGATGGCAGGGACTCTGTCTTTTAAAAAATTCATGGACTCCTCCCTGACCGGTTTGGCTCAGTGGATAGAGTGTCGGCCCCCGGACTAAAGGGCCCCAGGTTCAATTCCGGTCAAGGGCATGTACCTTGGTTGCAGGCTCGATTCCCAGTAGGGGGCATGCAAGGAGGCAGCTGATCGGTGTTTCTCTCTCATCGATGTTTCTGACTCTCTATCCCTCTCCCTTCCTCTCTGTAAAAAAATCAATAAAAAAAAATTCATGGACTCCTATTTTACAGCACTTGGTATTAAACAACATCACTGAACATACACAGGCTAATAACACTGAAGCGATTCCAGAGAGAATGAATGTAGACTTCCTAGAAACCATCTGACAAGTGCTGTAATATGTAATGTCCTTTTAGACAGCAAATCTACTTCTATAAATTACTGTAAGGAAATGAGAGGTGTGGAGGCTGGATAGCTAAGAATTTTCTTCAAACTGAGAAGAAACGAGAAGGTCCCAAATGGTTAAACATGAATGTTCATAGCAGCAATATTCATAACAAAGAGTAGGAACAACCCAAATGTCCATCAACTGATGGGTGAATACACAAAATGTGGTACATCCATATAACGGAATGATATTTGGCAATAAAAAGAAATGAGATTCTGCCTGGCCAGCATGGCTCAGTGGTTGAGCATCCACCTATGAACCAGGAGGTCACAGTTCGACTACTGGTCAGGGCACATGCCCAGGTTGTGGGCTCGATCCCCAGTGTGGGGCATGCAGGAGGCAGCCAATCAATGATTCTCTCTCACCATGGCTGTTTCTCTCTCTCTTTCCCTCTCCCTTCCTCTCTGAAATCAATAAAAAATATTTTAAAAAGAAAAGAAATGAGATTCTGATACACACTACAACATGGATGACCCTTGAAAACACTGTGCTAAGTGAAAGGCACAGAGGATCACATATTGTATGATTCCATTTATACGAAATGTCCAGAATAGGCAAATTCATAGACACACAAAGGAAACTGGTGGTTGGCTAGGGCTGGGGGGTGGAGGCACCAGTGGGTGGAATGAGAAGGGGAGTGGCTGTTAATGGGTGCAGTTTTTCTTGGGGTAGGTGGAAAATCTTCTCTAAAGGTGATTGTGGTGACAAGTTGTGCAACTGTCAATATACTAAAACCACACATATCATTAAAATTAACCATCTTAACCCTTTTCAAGTGATCAGTTCAGTAATGTTGAGTACGTTCAGTGTTGTGCAACCAACCTCCAGTACTAAAGTATACATGTTAAATAGGGGAATTGTATGGTATATAAATTATATCTGAATAAAGCTGTTATTTAAAAACAACATATAGAGTCTGAACCAAATTTTACTTAAAAATCACATGTGAAAAGGCTGATAATATATACACAAGATTTTAGACTGGGATTTTCTGAATGGCAAGATTTAGGTGATTTTGTTTGTTCTCTTACTCTTTGCGGATTTCCATGATGACTATGTATTATTTTCAAAATCACAAAAGTTATTAGTCTAATATAACTTCATGATAAATTCTATATACATTTAAGATATGTGCCTAGCCCTGTTGGTGTGGCTCAGTGGTTGAGTGTTGACCTATGAACCAGGAGGTTATGGTTAGATTCCTGGTCAGGGCACATGCCTGGGTTACAGGCTCTATTTCCCAGTAGGGGGTGTGCAGGAGGCAGCCAATCAATGATTCTCTCTCATCATTGATGTTTCTATCTCTCTCTCTCCCTCTCCCTTCCTCTCTGAAATCAATAAAACTATATATTTTAAAAATATATATGTGCCTACTGAAAAATGGCAATGTGAGTGGGTCAACCAACCTTCCTTCTGGAATCAGAATACTGCAAAGGTACTCCATCACCATGGCTTTGCATTCAGATTAGCATTTATAGTTTCCTCAGGAGTCTACCCTGACTCTAAAACAGTTGGCTCTCCTCTCAGACTTTATCACCAAATATAAGAATTAAGTACCCTTTAAAAAATTAAGTACTTTTGGCCACAACTATGAGATTCCTTCTGGTGTTTCCCTGTTCCTCAAGATTCCAAGTCTTGCATTTTTACCACCAGAAAGTAGACAACCTTGGCAGTCTTTTTTTTTTTTTTCCCCCAGTCATTTAATATTCACTCAATGGGCCATCAATTCGGGATCTTAAGTGGCTATTTTTCTAATTATCCATTCAGTACTTCACGGCCATGGTTTTTCCTTTTTTAAGATTCCACTTCCCCCAAAGGCAAAGGCTCAGTAAACAAAGAACAAAGATAGCACAGAAAAATAAAAAATACCCTTGATTGCTGGATATTTATCTCAAAATTGTCCGCCTGACATCTTGGGATCTGGAGGAAGTCAAGCAGCCATGTCATGATGATGAGGTCTCAAGCCCTCCCCCACTTGCTGGAAAGTTTCCTAACCAAGAAGAAATATTCATCCTGCCTGCCTTCTATATTCACTCTATATGCATGAATACTAACAAAATCAGGATTGAAGTTAGCTGGAGGTTAACAAGGTGGTTAATAAGAGACAGCTCTACAGTGCCCACATGGTGATTAGGCAATATTTAACTCAGGTCAGAATTTCTCAACGAAGGGTCAGAGTCTCAAGGAGACTCTGAAGGGGAATTTAACTATAGCTTCAGGGCGTCAGTGCCATGAGAGCAGCAGTCTGGCATCCCAGCAAAACTTGTCTCTTACTCACATCAATCTACAGAAGTGAATGCATTCATGTGTAAGCACTTTGCTCTTCATTCCATATGTCCCTCTATTTAGCTCTCCTCCATATTTATTCACTTTCCATCTTTAATTGTGGTAAACTATAGACCACAAAATTTACCATCTTAACCCTTTTCGAGTCTACAGTTCAGAAGTGTTAAGTACATTCAGTGTTGTGCAACCAACCTCCAGAACCTTTTTTTTTCATCTTGCAAAACAAACTTTGTGCCCTTAAACACTAACTCCCCATTCCTTTCTCTCCCCCTTCCCTGCAGCCATGGGAAGCCATCATTTTATTTACAATATCTATGAATTTCAGTACTTTATATACCTCATATAAAGTGAATCATACAGTATTAGTCTTTTTATGGCTGGCTTATTTCACTTAGCGTAATAGCATCAAGGTTGATCCATGTTGCAGCATGTGCCAGGATTTCCTTCCTTTTTAAGGCTGAAAAATATTCCACTGAGTACAGAGGCCACATGTTGCTTATCCATTCATCCACTGATGGACACTTGGGTTGCCTCCACCTTTTGGCTCTTGTGAATAGAGATGCTATGAACATGGGAGTACAAATACCTCTTCGAGGCCCTGCTTTCAATTCTTTGGGTATATACCCAGAAGTGGGATTGCTAGATCATATGGTAGTTCTATTTTTAATTTTTCAAGGATCTGCCATACTGTTTTCCATTCTCCATCTTTTTAAAATATATATTTTTTTATTGATTTCAGAGAGGAAGGGAGAGGGAAAGAGAGTCAGAAACATCAATGATGAGAATCACTGATCCGCTGTCTCCTGCGGGCCCCCTACTGGGGTTTGAGCCTGGAGCCTGGGCATGTGTCCTCCCTTGACCGGAATTGACCCTGGGACCCTTCAGTCCGAAGGCTGATGCTCTATCCACTGAGCAAAACTGGCTAAGGCTCTCCATCTTTTTAACAGCATTTAAATCCTGTCAAACTTTCTATTTCCCCCATGGGACAATCAGGTGAATATAAAGCACTTATTGAGAGACCAAGATGGCGGCATAGGTAAACACCGCAGACTGCTGCCGCAAACAACCACTTCAAAAATACAACTAAAAGACGGAACGGACATCACCCAGAACCGCAGGAAGGCTGGCTGAGGAGAGACTCTTCAACTAGAAGGAAAAATAACAGCACACCGAGGCTCAGAGGAGGCGCAGTGTGGAAAATACTCAGGTGCGGAGGTGCGCGCGCAAAGCGGGCTGGTGGCTGAGAGCGCGGTTGTCGTTTTCGGTCAGGGGGGAGTCTCAGACTCTGAGCTCCAGATACGGGCGAATCGCTGGGGACTCGGACCCAAACGGGAGAAGCGGGAGTGTCTGGCATCAGTTGGAAGGCAGCTTTCCCTCCGAGGTTTGCAGCGGTTCCGGGGGTTCTGAGAAGCAGAGCCTCTGGGAACGGGACTGAGAGGGGCCATAACCGCTCCCTCCGCCCGCCCGCCCTGTTGAGCCCGCCCCGCCCAAGCCCTGCGCAGAGCCATTTGCCAGATCGCCTCAGGCAAAGGCTAGATTAGCACCTCCCCAGAGGACAGAAGTTTTCCGCGGCAGACACAGCTGATTCACACAGCCAGTCGGCCTGGTGGTCAAATCCCTCTAGTATTAACTACAACAATCAAGGCTCAACTAGAACAAGACTGCGCACAAAGACCACTAGGGGGTGCACCAAGAAAGCATAAAAAATGCGGAGACAAAAAAACATGACAGAAATGGACGATATAGAGCTAAAAAACGCAATTTTGAGGGCTTGCAATAAACTTCTGGAGAGCCTCACGAAAACTAATGAGACCCTCAATGCTATGATAAAGAACCAACTAGAAATTAAGCATACACGGACTGAAATAAAGAATATTATACAGACACCCAATAGCAGACCAGAGGAGCGCAAGAATCAAGTCAAAGATTTGAAATGCGAAGAAGCAAAAAACACCCAACCGGAAAAGCAAAATGAAAAAAGAATCCGAAAATACGAAGATAGTGTAAGGAGCCTCTGGGACAGCTTCAAGCGTACCAACATCAGAATAATAGGGGTGCCAGAAGATGAGAGACAGCAAGATATTGAAAACCTATTTGAAGAAATAATGGCAGAAAACTTCCCCCACCTGGTGAAAGAAATGGACTTACAGGTCCAAGAAGCGCAGAGAACCCCAAACAAAAGGAATCCAAAGAGGACCACACCAAGACACATCATAATTAAAATGCCAAGAGCAAAAGACAAAGAGAGAATCTTAAAAGCAGCAAGAGAAAGAGACTCAATTACCTACAAGGGAATACCCATACGACTGTCAGCTGATTTCTCAACAGAAACTTTGCAGGCCAGAAGGGAATGGCAAGAAATATTCAAAGTGCTGAATACCAAGAACCTACAACCAAGAATACTTTATCCAGCAAAGCTATCATTCAGAATTGAAGGTCAGATAAAGAGCTTCACAGATAAGGAAAAGCTAAAGGAGTTCATCACCACTAAACCAGTATTATACGAAATGCTGAAAGGTATCCTTTAAGAGGAGGAAGAAGAAAAAGGTAAAGATACAAATTGTGAACAACAAACATGCATCTATCAACAAGTGAATCTAAGAATCAAGTGAATAAATAATCTGATGTACAGAATGAACTGGTGATTATAATGAATCAGGGACATAGAAAGGGAATGGACTGACTATTCTTGGCGGGGAAAGGGGAATGGGAGATGCGGGAAGAAACTGGACAAAAATCGTGCACCTATGGATGAGGACAGTGGGTGGGGAGTGAGGGCGGAGGGTGGGGCGGGAACTGGGAGGAGGGGAGTTATGGGGGAAAAAAAAAAGAGGAACAAATGTAATCTGAACAATAAAGATTTAAAAAAAAAAAAAGCACTTATTACCCTAGGGGGAGGGTCTAGTGTGGAAGCAACTGGGATACAAAATTTTGCGAACTGTCATAAAAAGACAAAGTGAGCTGTGTGTCCAGTTTCGAGTTCTACATAGTTCATTTAATAAAAAATTTCGCATGTGTCTAGTACATGATAGATGCCGAGCCTCAATAGTCTCTGCTTTGAAGGAGCTGCCAGCTCAGTGGAAGGAATACAGACAGAAAAACGCAGCCAATTACGACCCACAAAGATAGACACGATCCACCAGGAGACTCACATAGGAGGACACTGAATCTGGGCTGGCCGTCATCTGACCAGCTCCAATTGCATCCTCACTGCCTTCCCGGCACTTCGTTAGAGAGGTCATCCTCTAGTACAGCGGTTCTCAACCTGTGGGTCATGACCCCTTTGGGGGTCGAACGACCCTTTCACAGGGGTCGCCTAAGACCATCGGAAAACACATTGAATATATAATTACATATTTGTGATTAATCACTATG